TTTTTTTTTAACCAAACCGAACTAAAGCGGGGGGACGTCGTCCGGAGGTGGCAGTGCCACATTGGGGTGTTGCCCCCTAAGCAACTCGACGGACCAAAGTGACCGAGATGCTCTTTACTAGTAACTATAATACTCGTGTTTCCATGCGGATTGGTTTATATGAACTACCTTGATCTGAGCTATGACTTGAATTACGACTCGTTATTTGTGCTGGACCTCGGTGCGTGTAACATCTTTCTAACGGTTGGTTAAATGAAAAAGTCAATCATGTTTAGCACCAATGGTGCAGACAGTACGTCCTCCACCAATTTGTGTTCACAAAAAAACAGGGGCATTTGATCAAAAACCACAGTATAAGATTAGCCCATACTTTTCCGATTTGCGTCTGGGTTGATCCAATTAAACGCTTGAAACGTGGGCATTCCGTACATACCCTTTTTTTACCGCATGTTATATAAATATTATTCGCATTAGGTTCGGCCCCATAAGACTCTCCTGTCAGCTATCCCCATAATTTTCGACCGCCACGCTCGCGCAATTGTAGCTACGGCATCCAAAGCATGCACTAGAGTAGCTTATATGCCAAGACACGCCGTTCCACCCTACTGCAGTTTTAAAGGGCCATTATACAAGGAGAACGGCCTCATGCAGCAAAGGTGCTGGCTGCAAGTGTATTGTCGGTAAATATGCACTCATCGGCAGAACTCTACAAGGCCGATGACTTAGATGATAGTGTATCTAACCAGTGCAATGCAAAATCTAGCCACAGAGGGCACGATCGCGATGTTTTTGACGAAATGACCCGTGACCTGCTGCCGGTTTAGTACGGCAAAATGGCTAGACGATTTGACCATCATTCTGAAATATCCTAGTTTTTGTGAACGCAGGAGATAATGGGCAGTTCCTGAAAACTCAAACCCCATTTTGGTCGAACTAAAGCATGCATAAAAACGATGGCAGCTGCGCTTTCATACTATTTTGCCTCAAGGAAGGAATTCTAGTAGGGGTGGTTGCCACCCCCGACATAATGGTACGACGTACTATGCTGCAAACACACGCAACGTGGTGAATATTTCTTGAATTGATTATGAAGGCCATCACCTCAAGCTTGCTGGAGATTTCAAGCTCTTAAGGACGGCGGTAAACACCCCCAAATTCCGCTCACGCAGCTAACCCCCTCCAGGTTACATCAGGCACCACTCACGGAGGAGACCCAGGAGCACGGGAGCTCTTATTCTAGTGGCCACGTTACGACGTTGAAGGGCAGCAAGAAGCACGATAGCTGTAGCGCCCATTGTGGATGTTGGCGTATGTCGTAGATTTTCAAATGAGCAAACTGTGTTTTCAGGATGCATAGCATTTGGTACGACCAATATCACAGCCTCGTTTTGGCCGTCATTTGATACGATCAAATTGAGTTTTCAGGAATGACCCAATGCTTACAGACATGCGCCTGTAATCGTTTCGATAGAACGTGCCATAAACCCGTAAACAGCAACCCCATAAACACATACTCCGAGTAGAAAAAGTCTTACCTATATCTTACCGTAGGCAAAAAAATATAACGCAGATGCGTTACAGTGTCCACCATTCTATTGCTCTCTCGTTCGCCGATTTCAATGATATAAGTTATCTCTTTCCCCTTCAGCGTCGTGGGACCTCAATCGCCGTTTCTGGTTTCCAGCACACATGTAGTAAGGAACGTCTTCCCTAAGACAAGGTGTTGTGGAATTGAAAAGTGAATGATCAGATCTCTTCAAGCTGGCTCTTCCAACAGAAGTAGCGCTATCATTGATTACATGGCATGTACACTAGGTACATTGTAGCGACGCTTGCCACAATCTACTACATCTTCATTTATTAAACAGGTTCATAAACAAGGCTTTAATGGGACTGGATATATTTATAATACTAGTAGCGAATTTTCGGGTTGGAAATTCCAAGCATGACGTTTACAATCGCGTTGTGGCTGCTGTGCGCGGAAGAAAGGAAGATTACTTAAGTGCAAGTTCTACGTGGAGCCTTCCTTGTAAGATTGTTTAGGAACATCAGCAGTGTGTTTTCATCGAAACCTTGTGCAATTTGCCGTACGTGCAGATTACGTACGCTATCTACCAGCACGTGATGATCTTGAGCTGGATATAAGTACAAAGACCGTGTGCTTTTTCTGGGATATACTCCACAACCTGACCACTTTTGTTATCTTACTACATGCAAGATAAGAATAACTAGTGTAGTATAGGTATGGATGGATACGTACAGATGGCGCACAGTGCAGTGGCGAACAGAGCCTAAGATAATCTTAGGCTCTGTTCACTGCGCCATTTGTACATTTGTACAAATCTATCACTTCTACCACTTCTCCTCGTTAACCGCTATATCCTTTTAAAATTTGTGGTATCCTCTTCATCTCTTACCCTTACCGTTACTGTCAACCTCTATTGCCTTTATAATATATGGCAAGACCCCTAGATGGTTAGGAAGACGATACTGTAGAGATCACCCATTTGCAGTGGAAGCTGCACAATGTACAAAGATGTTTTCAACTGACTCTCACGAACATAGCATGTACGTACATGTATACCGTCGCGATTCCCCGTCCGCACATTTCACATTTTCATTGTTCCTCCACAGAAGCTTCGTTATACTGTTATTTGAGTCCTGCCATCCTGAAATTGAATATGCGCTTCCGTTTTGCGCTGCTCATCATACAAGTCATTACCTTTGTAATGTGTGGTGCCTTGTCGGCGGAGACGAGTTCAAGTGCATTAACACTCCCGAAACTAGTGCATCCCGAAGGCGTACCATCGAATTCGTTGCTGGATAGTGACAACCAGAAACGGCGATTGAGGTCTCACGACGCTGAAGGGGAAGAGAGACAACTTAAATCATTGAAATCGGCAGGCGAGAGAGTAATAGAATGGTTGAGGAAGAACAAAGGGTTGGAGGACGTGAAGGATTCGATGATGGTCTCAAGTGTAATGGACAAACTTGATCCAAGAGTACGGACATACAAGAAGTTCGGAAACGCACTACTGAAGCGGGATGAGCCAAAAGACCTGTACAAGAAGTGGAATCAGTCCAAGCTGGACAAGTTTCTTGGGTGCCTACAGCCACCCTGCGTAGCGCCCTAGCTCAAGGACACTTTGGGAAAGACGCAATAGAATAAGGTGGGTTCGTTTCGATTTATTTCTTATATTACAGTCTTCTACTCTCTCCAAAAAAAAATATCAAGTGAAGTACTACAGTACTATATATATATATTTTTTTCTGGGATAGCAGTAATTATATTCAATTGTATCCGGGGAATAATACTCCACATTTGATGCCTTTACCATCTTCAGGCTGTCGTTTCCAATGTACCCTTCTTTGAGCGGGTACATTGCAATACACAACTGTAGCCCTCTTTCAATATTTTAGCAAATCATTGCGCTTAACCGCAGTTGGAAACAATAATAAATCAATGAATTGACTTGAGAAAACGTAAGAGGCATTCTGCGACGGTATGGTGATGTGATGTGATTGGTTGAAAAAACTTAATCAAAAGCTTAATCATGTATTGCCAAGATTCAAATACTGTTTACTTGTTTGGGTGCTTCTACTACGTCGTCGCGAGCAGAGTGAACACCATCGCTTGTGCGTCATGGCCGTTTTCGTGATTTGGAAGTTGGTTGGTGGTCTCTTTCCTGATCTTGGCAATTTTGTCGGACGAGTCTGAGTACTGTTGACAACTTCAGCTATCCTGTTCTACGCTTTCGTTTGCTCGGCTTTAGTCGAAGTACCTCATATCCTATGTTAAACAACTTGATAGCGTGGGGTTCATCGACGACTGTAGGCATTGAAGAGCCCAAGCGTGCTTTAATTCCTTTCATGATGTGCCTCATCATGATTGACCACTCAGATAGTGTTGCTTTCTTCTGAGGTGTATCTAAATCGTCAGACGGTATCTCTCTGTAACCAGTTTGTTAACTACACTCGCAGAGTTTGGTTCGTCCAGTGCTGATAAACGTCCAAGATCCGGATGGCCGTCGGTCGACAACTCTGTCTCCCGCGCCGGTGTGAGCCCGACTGGCTGTACCACCTATTTTATTTACGTTCAAACTAACAATCAATACCAAACTACTTACGACTGCTTCCTCGGTGTACGGTTGCTGCCTTCGTCCGTCCAAGTTTTCGGCGTCGCCCGCCTGAATGCAGGTGCTCGACCTTTCCGTTGACAGCGCCCCACACTCAGCCAGACTCGGGGCGTTCCCCTGTCCGTCCACTCGTCGCCCGTTCTCAGCCGCTGCACACTTTGGTCACCGCCGTTCGCAGTTCCTCGTAGTCGTCCAGCAATGCCGTCGCACCACCGGAGACCAGTTCATTCGTCTATCGTTCGTCAACTTTCGCTCGATGTGCGGAAGCCCAGTTCTCGTTCGTCGTCGTCAATAGATTTCGAAGTCGCCGTGGCGTCCGTCGCCTCGCCAGCAGATTTCAAAGTCTCCTTAAGGTCCGGCGCCTTGCCAGCAAATTCCGAAGTTCCCTTAGCGTCCGTCGCCTCGCCCGCAAATTTCGAAGTGATCTTGGCGATCTCGCCGCCTCACTCACCAGTCGCTTGGATCTTTTTGTCGGCCGCTCTTGACCGTTCGTTCCGTGCGATCTTTCGTGTGCGACTCTTCGCCGTCGAGCCACCAGTCGTTGCGGTTCCTCATTTCTCCGTCGTTCCTGTCCGTTGATCTCTCGTCAGCCGTCTGGCAAAGTGGCGCGACCGTCACCCTGTTACACGACTTCCTCAATATCCGGGTCTTCCACGACCCGGCCACTTCGATGCAGCTTCTCGTATTCGTTTCGATCAATCCAACAGGCTTTCTCCCTACCGTCCATCGTCGCCCATCGACCTCCTTGGGTTGCTCGTGTTCATCCAGAACTTAGAGGTCGCCGCTCGTGCTCCAGTATGTACTGTCCAGCTTTGTTTGTCGTCTTCGTCTCAGGAGTTCCACCAGTGCAAAGCTCTTATCGTTCTCGTCGTTCGTTGCAATTCGTTGTCGTTTTCGAGTCGTCTTTGACGTTCCTCCATTATTGTCTGTCATTGTTGCAAGTACAAGCGCTCTTGTCGTCTCGTCATCGACTGCCCGTGTGCTGAAATCTTCATGTTCGAGTTGTTCGTTGATGTCGTGAACCGCACGTTGTAGTAGAGATGTTGTCGAGTGATGGATCACCATGAATGACGAATGAGCTATTATTAGCTCTGGTTGGCCGCTCTTATCTTCTCGTTTTAGCACGTAGTTTTCATATCCAGCGGATTCGATCAGTTTCATCGGACCCATCCATTCGTGAATGAATTTGGTTGCCTTTGGTCATCTTGGCGGGTTGTAGACCCAAACGCGATCATCTGGTTCAAGCGTTCGTCGTTGTTTGACTTTGCAATCGTAGTAGTAGGCTTGACGCTCTTGTTTCTTCTGTCTTGCACGCTCTGTACATTCACGCCCTGGTTTCATCGCTGCCATCAATCGGCGATGGTAATCCATTAAATCACCAGCTTCGGTAAGCTCTGTTCCTCGCAATAGTTCATTCGGAGGTCTCAGTCTCCGACCCATCATCAATTCGTTGTGGCACAAAGCCACTGTCGAGTGTTGAGCGGAGATGTACGCGAACACCGCGCATTGCACCCAATCACACCAGTCGTTTTGACGTTCGTCTGCCATGAATGTTGAAACGCAGTGTTTCCACGTTCTGTGGAAGAGCTCCACCAGTCCCATCAGCTGCGGTCGATAAGGGACCAGATTCGTTTGCTTCGCTTGTAGCAATGCGACTAACTGCTCTATTACTCGTCCCGTCATTTCTGGCGCACCATCCGTCAATAGTTCACGGAAGGCTCCGCACTTCAGCACCACGTCCTCCAACAAGAAGGTTGCTTCTCGTTCAGCTGTGTGCTGTACGACACTCCGTGCAACTGCATATCGTTTTACATATTCAAGGGCCTCGATGACGTAACGTTCACCTCCATCAGCATTTGGAAAGGGTCCAGACACGTCTAGCGCCCATCGGTCTCCAACGTCATCTCCTCGCAGGCTCCGTAGTGGCGGTATCACCTCTCGAGGTCGTGCTTTTCGGCTTCCGCATTCTTGGCCACCAGTACATTTGCGCGATCCGTCCGTAAGTATGGGGTCCGCGTAGATGTCTGCCCAAATCGATCCGTGTATCTCCTTGAATATAATCGACCAGAAGGGCGGTGGTAAAACTACTCGTCGTCCTCGTGTAGTTTCAATCACATCTAACCCAATTATACGTTGCACTTTCATTCCTTTGTAGCCACCAGACTCCACCATTGCTTGCACGAGTCAACTTCGCTGCTGTGCGGTCACAATCTCTTGGTCCGTGAGCTGCAGCGTTAGTTCCTCCGTTTGTACTATGTCGTCGTCAAACTTATCCAGTGCAACCGTTGTCGAAATCATCATGTTACCTGGGCGTTGCGTCGTCGTGTCTCTGGTGTCCCATTCGTCTTGGTCTTCACCTTCGTGTTGTTCAGCTGGACGCCGGTCGACGTTCTTCTTACTGTCTTGTCGGTGACTGTGCACCCGGTTAGCGTCGGACCTGTAGTCGAGCTGGTGGTTGTTCTCGTGCTAATCGTCGTAGATTCAGATGCATTCTCAGTGGGTTTCACGTCTCCCGCCTGCTTGTCGTCCATCACCACGCTCACTAGCAGTTTTACCCATGTTACGTGTCGCTCTAGGTTCTCGTGGTGCCGCATTGTCGCCTCGCTCGTCGTTCATAGTTTCGTCGGCGTCGCTGCCGTTGTAGTTTCGGTTCGTCGTGACACCATGGTCTGGATGCGAAAACTCTAGAGCCGCCGTTCGTCGTTCGTCTGCTTCACGGGCTTTTCCGCTCGGGTTGATGCTCGCGTGTTCGGTCGTTACTGTGCAGCCATTCGTGGCGTTCGGGATCTTCGCCTCGTTTTCCTCATCAGTGGAGCTTCGGGAAACGCCGGTGTGACCGCCACGGTTGGAGTGTGCACCGTCACGGTTGGCATCACCGTGTTGTACGCTTCGTTGGTGTGATCGGACTTTATCATCGTGTCAGGAGTAACGCCGTCGTTACGTTCATCCAGCTTTTGGTCGTTCGCGGTCGCGGCCACGCCTTCACGCTCGCCGCCGTCCGTATCATCATTCGTCTGGGTCGAGACCACGCCTTCACGCTCGCTGCCGCCCGGATCATCATTCTTCTAGGTCGGGGTCACGCCCTCACGCTCACTACCCGTCGGAATTACGCGTGTTGACCGGGGCCACGTCCTCCCGCTCGCCACTAGATCCGTTGTGATCGTGATGCGAGTCCTGCGATTCCGGCGGCAGTACCGTCGCCGTCGTTATCACCGGAACTTCACCGTTCATCGTCGTGTCATCATCGGCGCCATTCAACGTCGTCATGTGCGCCGCCGCCGAAGTCGCTGTTGCTGCTTTGGCCGTTCCCGCCGCTGCTTCCTCGCGTTCTTTGCCAACCGCGTCTGTACCTGCATGGGCACTGACTGTGAGCTTGACTTGGGTTCATCGTCGTGCTTCGCTGTCTTTGTCGTATTCATTGCTCCCCTAGCGAACACGTTTACCGCCGTTCGCCCGTACGTCGCCACCGTCCGTTACATTGGTACCATCCTCGTCGTACATGGCGCCGTCGTTACCATCCTCCTTGCCTCCAATTCGGCGTCTTGTATGACGACGTCCGTGGGTAGCTCGTCGTCTTCTGTTTTCGACTCCGTTTCCGAACGTGTGACTCGTAATTCTCGTGCGCCATTTGTTATCGCCAATACCGTCGCCGTAATCGCTGTAGGTGCTCGGGAGAGCGTGTCAGCGACGACGTTAGTTGCTCCTGGACGGTATAAAATCTCAAATTCGTATTTTTGTAAGGTTAACGACAACCTATGTAGTCTTCCAGCCAAATTAGGAGGGTCATCAGCCATTTCAGTGCTGCGTGATCCGTGACAACATCGAATCTCCTACCGTACAAGTAGGGTCTGAATAGCTTAACGGAGCATACGACCGATAGGCACTCTAGTTTGGTAATTGAGTAGTTGCTCTCCGCACTGTTGTTCACCTTACTTGCGCATGTGATCGGCTGCCAGCCTCGCCCTTGCATCAAACAGGCACCAAGCCCTACCTTACGTGCATCTGTTACTAATCGGAAACGCAACGTGAAGTCCGGGTAGACGAGCAAGGGCTTCGTCGTCAACATTGCCTTCATGCGCTCAAATGCAAACTGCTGCTCTTCAGCCCATTCCCATTGACAGTCTTTCTTCAGTAGCCGCGTCATGGGTGCCATTATGGAGCCGAAGGCTTCTATGAATTTGCGATATACCAAATGCACAAAGCGTTTTACTTCCACGGGATCACGTCGGCGTGAAAACCCTTCTACCACCGAAATCAAGCGTTCTACAGGTCGTACACCGTCGCTAGTCAGTTCATGACCAAGGTATTCTATCGTACGAGTAGCAAATAGACACTTCTTCAATTTGAGCGTCGAACCGGCCGAAGATAGTCGTTGAAGTACCGTAGCTAGTTGTACAATGTGGCGTTCAATTCCACCTCGCGTAAAGATCACTGTCATTTAGGTTAACTAAACAAGTCGTCCATGTTAGTCCACGCAAGATGCCATTCATCATTCGCTGAAAAGTCGACGGAGTGTTCAATAACCCAAACGGCATGCGTTTAAACCGATATAATCCGTGCTTTGTGGTGAAACCTGTTTTATCACGATCTTCGTGAGCTACCCCGATCTGCCAATAGCCTGAACGTAGGTCAAGTGTTGTGAACAGTTGGGCACCACGTATAGCTTCTAGGGTTTCATCAATACGGGGCAACGGATATACATCACGCTTCGTCACCTTGTCCAGAGCTCGGTATTCAATATAAATTCTTATTTCACCATCTTTCTTGCGTACGAGTACGACAGGAAACCTCCAAGCGCCATCTCATTCTTCTATGACGCCTGCTTGCAGCATCTTAGCGACGTTATCTTCAATAACAGTGTCCTCGGTTTGAGCCTGACGTCTCCTTTTCAGCATTATCGGTGCGGTATCGCCGGTGTTAATGTGGTACTGTATGTCTAGCGAAGTCATCGGTGGACAATATCCGGTGATGGTAGACACTATCCTATAGGCCCTGAGTAATTTGAGTACTAACGCACGTGTCATAGCGTTTTCTTCTCTAATTCGCACTTCATGTCCATTGTTCAGGGGCGTCTTAGTATCTGTGAGGTTCTCGAGATACTCATCGACTCTGTCGGGCTCCAGTTCTCCATTCAATTCCAACATCTGCATATCCTTCGTAAACGGCACCCACACTCCCAACTCCTTTTTGCTGGGAAGCTTTGAGCGGTCGCCTCTGATGTTAGTTGCCGGGATGAGTGCTTTGCCGCCAACGACCTTCGTCACGGTGGTCGCTAGCATGACAGCCCCACTCTACGTGTTGGTACGAAAATAGCCGTCTCTCCATCAGGAGCAGCAACCATGATCGTCACTGGTGTCACCGCGTTTCGCGTCAGCTTGGCACACCGAGCCAGTCTGACCACAGCAACCTTCGTCTCTTCGTTCTTTTTATCCTCCGTCCGGAACGGAACAACCACTAACCGCTCCTTCTCATAATAGCGAATTTCGTTCTTGTCAAAATCCATGTTTGCTTTGTGTTCCTTCGTGAAGTCGACTCTCAATAAGAACTCACTTGTACAGCCCTCGATAATTCATACCGTGATTCGCACCACCTGCCCGTACACGTTGCGCATATCGAATGCCCAAACTCCGACTACATCGAGAAGGAAGCCCCCGCACCTTCTACTTAGTCCACTGGGACTGGTCCCCGCACTCGCTCTCCACGTTCCATCCAGTCTGTCCCCGCTACAGAATATCTGGCACAACTATCCCACTTGATATCGTACTTCTCGCCGTCCAACTCCATGACTGCCGTCGGTAAACCGTCGTCAGCCTGCACACAGGAGCCCCTGGCCACGTTCACTGCGGCCATTCCATGTCGTTGTACCAAACTAACTCGTGCACTTTGCGAGTTTCATTGGTCCTGATTTTGCGTCTCCGTCCATCGTCGTTGTTTTCGTTCTTCCAGTTCAATTCACGCTTCATCAGTTTGTCGTTCTCTCCGAACTCGCTTTTCATATTCTAGCCCGACCACCGCACGAACCACTACATCGTCGTTCACCGGCATAACCGTCGCGCGTCTCACAGCACATTCCACGCGCTGCCGCTTGGCGTCACGTTTCGCCTGCTTCCTGGCTAGCCTACAGCCACATGAGCACGATCTGGCACTGGATGGTTGTCCAGCTTCATGGTGCACCCCGTAGTCATCTTAGTCTCCTTTACATCCTCACTTGATGCCGTCACCGTCGCCCGCGTGGTTCATGAAGGCGTGGTCATCACTGGGACCGTCGTGGTCAGTGGCATGAATTCCGTTGCCGTTTTCACAACCGGCGCTATTGTCAGCAACGTGTTGGCTACTGTTTCTAGTGCCTTGTTATTCTTCTCCATCTTCTTCATGCCCCCTTCCTCAGTCACTGGCACGCCTCCATATTCAGACGTCCGTGCGCCGCCTTCCTCAGACATCAACACATCATCTTCCTCAAACGTTAGCACGCCGCCTTCCTCAGCTGCATGTAGTCGTTCTCGTCGTTCTCCATCTCGGCCGTCGGCACCTGGATAACGCAGAGCTTTCATCGCCGGTCTCACGGTCTCCACGTACCTCTTCGCCCTCCAATCATCACGGGTTGTCATCTCCGCATCAATGGCCGCCTTCATCATCATCACGTCACTACTGGTAGCCCCGTGCTACACGCACTCGCCGTTCACGTCGCTGTGCGGATCCGTGCATGTCTCTGCCAACTCTCTCGCGACAGCGGCGTCCATCGGACTCCCCGCCGTTGTCTTCACACGCGTGCCGCCCACCACCAACAGCTCTTGGAGCGTCTCTGCCGGCGTTGCACGGTACCTGTCGTCACCGTCACTTGTCACCATCGCGTCGGTGGTATTCGTCGCCGTCTCTCGGGGATCTTGCGGCGGCGCCGGATGCAGTCTTCCCCCGACTTCGCCCGACTGTCGTTTACCGAGCCTTGCGTTCTGCGAGATAAGCCTCGTTCCGGGACTTCGCTGCGGGGTCAGTGCAGTCCCTAGCGAAGTGACCAGATTCCCACACGCAAAACACTTTTCCTCACATTGCCGCCTGCCGCCGGGCCGTTCCGAGTTAGGCGGCTTGGACCCTAGTGGCTTGTCGGGTGCCTTCGTCTGTCGTACACGTGCGTTTCGATTCTTCTTCTGTGGTGGCGACGATGGAACTTTTGATTCCTCGTTGCTGCTCGCGTCTTCATCTGCCTTTACCATCAGAGCTTTTACCTTCTTGTCCGGTCTGGCGGAGTACCGCGTATTCATTGCCCGCTGGTCTTGAGCTGCCGTCCTTCGCTGTCGACCACGACTCTTCTTATTCAATCGCCAGTACATTCGGTTCCATGTTCTCCCCCCTGGCGCCACCCATACGTTGGTGTTCTTATCAAAGATGCCTTGTGGGTTCGTGAAGTACACACGGCTCTCTCCTTCCATGTCCTCATCGTCCTAGTCATCAGCCCGTATACTGCCGATACCAGAAATCGCTTGCATCGCGCCCTTCGTACCGTCCATTCATACCGCCGTCTGTGCTGCATTCATGACCCACGCTTGGTTGTTGTTGATCATGCCGAGGGCTACGTTGTAGCTCGAGTCATCTATCTTCATCGCCTTGTCGACAGCTTCAACCAGTGTGGTTGGCGCCGGTTCCAACTTGACCAGCTGCCGGGTAGTTTTGTCTAGTCCACGATAAAACAGGCCCAACAGGGTTTCCTCTTATACTCGGTTCTGACCAGCTGTATCACGGAGTCCTGCTGCTAAGTCAGCGAACGTTTCTCCAGGCATCATGGTCCGCTGCATCACTCTGCATTCCGCCTGAGCGAGATCTAGTCGTTCTCCATACCGCCGGAGAAGAGCGTCCTTCAACTTCGCCCCCGTTTGTCGTCTTCGCTGAGTTCCGTATGGCACTGAACCCACAACTTAACCGCATTGTCTTGTAGTTTATTACCAACCACGTAATAAAGCTCCTTTTCGCTCCAACCACCTCGGCCAGATATCCGTGCACCTTGGACAGCTAAATCCATCTTCGCTATCCACGTTTCAATCCGTATTCCACCCACCTGCGGCTTGAAAGGCTGCAAATCAAGCTCTTTAACGTTCTTCTTCATCCGGTGGCGGTGTCGTCGCCGGTCACACAAGTCTCGTCGTCCACGTTTTCGTTGTTGGCGTCGTCGTCTTCGGTGGTCATCGTCACTGGAGCTGTCACTGTCGTCGCTGCGTCTACTGTAGTCACTATCGTCACTACTAACTCCACCACCATCATCGCCATCACCAGGTCCCGGAGGTACTGTGCGTCTGGCACGTGCTGCTGTTCGCGGTTTGGCCACTGTTGCCGCGGTCAGATTCGCCGTGTTGATGGTTGTCAGCAATGCAACCAACTGTAGTTCCAAGTCCGTAACTACGTTCTGCGTTGGTACGTCCACTGCCAAATTGGTTAACGTCGGCGTCACTGCCTCAGTTGCCTGTCTTCCCGATAAAGTTATCGCGCTTCTACAGCCCCGGTTCTTCGGTTAACGCTGGTCGTGACTCCAGCTTCAGCCGTCTCCGGGCTCCTCGTCGTAGTCGACATGGGTAGCGTTGACTGGGGTGCCACCGGCGCCATTGGTTGCCGTTCTTGCGTTGGAGCCTGAGCCGGTTCAACGTCGTTCATTCTCGTCTCCAGACGATTCACTGTCGTCATAATGCGCTGTAGCGCGCTGAGTAACGTTGCCGTCGTGCCCGTCGTCACGGTCGCTTGCTGCGTTGATGCATGTGCCGCCGGCTGGTCCGACGTTCCAGCTGAGGCTTGGCTGCGAGCCCTTGACGCCATCGATCCTGCTGCTATGAGAAGCGTGGGTTGGGTAATTGTCGGGGTCATCACCGAAGTCGTTATCGTCGTTGCTGCCGACGTTGTCTGCGTTCCCGCGGTAGTTTCCACACGCGTCGCTGACAGTTCGTCGTCGTTCATTTCTTGTTTTACCGGACTCTCCGATGCCGGTGCCATCATCTTCTCCACCAGGGATACATTCTCTGTCGCGGGCAAATTCGTCACGGGCGTTTTTGTCGTTTTTTTCGTCCTTGCTGTCTCCGCGGGCTCTTTCGCCTCGGGCTGCTCAGCCAATGCTCTTGTAACGGAGATCGAGCGCTGCACATTTTTTGTTCGAGCCATTGTCGTTGAGGTTTATTGTCGATCTTCACAAATGGTCCATGTATCACCACCATGTAACGAGTTTGCTCTCTCCACTGGCAGAGTTTGGTTCGTCCAGTGCTGATAAACGTCCAAGATC